TCGTCGTATGATTACTCAGCTTATCTGTGTAAGTAAATTAAAAAAGTGAAGCGTGCGCGATCGGTAGTAGCGATGCGAGCAAGCTGAATGACACTCGGCCGAATTTATTATTCGATTCTCCTTGCGCTGCGGAAAACTGTGAACCGTCGTGTGTGTGTGTGTGTGTGTGTGTTTGCGCGTACATGCGTGCACAAATCGAGAACAAGAAGAGAGAAGCTGAAGGAAGAGGGAAAGAAAAAAATTTGAAAGGTGAAAGATATGGAAAGTTAGTATCGAGGATTATTATATTCTTATATATTTTCGTTATTTATTATGGTTTCCTTTTCTCGAAAGTAGCCGTGTGAAAGTTTGAATCTTCGCTCGGATAATATATCAGATCTTTTATTTTCTCCGCGAATAATTTTATATCTTATTTGCAAAGATATGGACGCGATGGATATGTTTGTTTATTATGTTTGCAAGAGGCGATTTGTTTCAATTATGTCGAGTTATTAATTTCGAATTGTCAAAAGATCAAAAATTAAAATTATTTTATATATATATATATATGTATTAAAGAAAAGAATTGAATGGATATTTCGTGTTTAGAAATTTCAAATGTTGTTTTGTCATAATTTTCTTGTTTAAGAAATATATGTGTTTACGAAAGGAATGATTTACATTTATGATATACATTGAATCGTTTTACCAACGAATACCATTATGTAATATAATTGTATCCGTGATACGAAAGAAGTAAAAAATTATATGAACCCTTGTTAAAAATGGAAAATCATTGTTAGTAGGAAGGGGGAAATTAGATTGCTATTGTAATCATTCTAATTACATGAACGTATCCCTCTTCGTTCCCCACTCATTCCTCCACATGTAGATGAAATTTCGTTTATAACGTATTAGTGACAAGGATGATGATAAATACACGTTTACAATGCATAAATTTGTTATTAGGAACTACGTTGACCGAATGGGATAAACTTCCTTCCATCAAGGTAGGCGACTTCACGCTCGAGGTCGAATTTGGGCCACCTGGCAAGGAGTTGCAAGAGATAGCGAAGAACGAACTTCGAGAGACGCCCGAACTTCAGAAGGATGCGATCGCCCGACTTAGGGAATTGTTAAAAGGTGACAAAATTATAATCGATTGTAGATGTAAAATAAAAATAGAAGAAAAAAAAAAAAACCTCAATTCTCCACGATTCTAATTTCTTTTTTTTTTCTCTCTTTTCCTCTTTCTTTTCTCAACAGCCGAGACAGATTTGAAATGCCCCGTGGAGAACGACGCCTGGCTGATCCGATTTCTCAGGCCTTGCAAGTATTATCCGGAATCGGCGTTGAATCTGGTTAAGAATTATTACAATTTCAAAGTGAAGCACTCGAACGTCTACGACAATTTGAAACCGAGCAAAGAGAAAAATATATTCGAGCAAAACATTCTGTCTGTGTTGCCGAATCGAGATCAAAATGGGCGAAGGATACTGGTGATAGAGTTGGGGAAGAAATGGAAGCACAACAAGTGCAGCCTGGACGAGGTGTTCAAGGGTTGCGTGCTGTACGTGGAGGCGGCCATGTTGGAGCCGGCCACTCAGATCGCGGGCGCGATAGTCGTTTTCGACATGGACGGGCTCACTCTTCAACAGGCTTGGCAATTCACCCCCGCGTTCGCCAAAAGGATAGTGGATTGGCTGCAGGACGCCGTACCGCTCAGAATAAAGAATATACACATCGTTAATCAGCCATACGTGTTTAACATGGTGTTCGCGCTGTTCAAACCGTTCCTTAGGGATAAATTGAAGAACAGGGTAAGTTGACAGCCCATTTCTTCGAACATTTTCTGAAAAAAAAAAAAGAAAAAGTAGATTTAATTTTGTAAAAACTGAAAGTAAAAGTGAAGGTTTGAGATATCAATGCTTGGCTTCGATTACTTGCAGCTGATCTTCCACGGCAATGATCGGAAATCGTTGCACCAATACATCTCCCCCAAATGTTTGCCAGCCTGCTACGGTGGAAACTTGCAACTTCCTCGTATAACGGGGCCACAATGGTTGGAATTGTTATTATTATGCGACAAAGAGTACGATGGTACGACAAATCCTCTTGATCCTCTTCTTCAATTTCAAATAAAAGCACTAAAGAAATCGAAGCGCAAAAAGTTATTCGTTATTGCTGGATATTGAACGAAGAAGATGTTATTTTATATTTCGAATATTACCTTTTTTTTAATAATAATTGATCCTTCTCTTCTCTTTTCCAGCAATCAACTCGTACGGTTATAAGAAATAATTCATCCGTTTCGATGCGCCTTCATGCGAGGATGTAAAAAGAGAGATGATGTGAAGATATCAATTTTTTCTTCTTCTTCTTCTTTTTTTTTTTTTTTTTTTTTTTTTTTTGGGAAACTTTGTCGGCTGTGGACTTTCTCGTTAACACGCTGATCTGGATTCAGCGCATAGCCTACTTAGTTATCTGTTATTATCTGCTTATAAGCGGATCATTGCTAGTTTGACCTTTTATAATATTATTGCAATTTAAATTATACGATGAATTAAACAATGATACTTTTTATGAGAGGAATGGGAAAAGAAGTACAAACTTTTTCCAGTTTATTGTATTGTCCATATTATTAAGATTAGAATTAGAATATTGTTATCGAGAGAAAGAGAGAGAGAGAAAGAGAGAGAGAGAAAGAGAGAGAGAGAGAGAAATTTAATTCTTCTAAGGGATTTTATATATTATATAAAATTATATTTTAAGATAATTTTGTACGAAATAATTTTATTATTTATAATATTATTTTTGTATTACTTTAATGTTATAATGTTTCCTTTTTTTTTTTGTGAACTTCTCTGTTAATAGATGAAATCGATTTAAATTTATCGTTATTAATAACTTGATAATTTAAAAAAAACGAGAAGTCTTTCAAAAGGCTTCACAAGTTATTACCAGCTGATATATTTAATAAATTTGTAAAACTTGTTGATTAATTTATTGTCAGGACAAAGAGGTTTATCTCAAGGGTATACGCTTATGAAATATGTACTTAATTAAAAGATCCTGTTATATATACGAATCCGTAATTATATACGATAATTGTATCAAATTCTGCAACTATTTCTTCCTGAAGTGAAACATTTTTATTCCAATTATTTTTCAATCAAAATATTTTTCGTTCCTTTATAATCAATCAATTATGTGATAAACGATCAATAATTGTTGCAATCATCACGATGAGACGTGATAATTTTGCGGATTAAATATAACTTTTATCGAAAAAAAATGTGGAACGATAACATTAATGTTTCATTTATTATTATTACGCTCAAAGTTAATTGAAAAATTTATTTTATTATATCAATAATAAAAAAAAAACAAATACAAGCTGATTACCGTTATTTTTCGATATTATTTTTATTTTTTAAAATAAAAAAATTACCCACACACACACAAGAATGAAGATCATCGATCCGTTGCAACAATAATAGAATTCGGATCTCTGATCTTCCTCCATTTATTCCATAAACCAGTTTGATACTCAAATTATGATTTATTCGAATTCTCACCATCGATTTTACCCTTTTACCCCTTGTTTCGATCACATTGAGATCTATCAACAACGTTACCTTGAAACTGGTTACTTCATCGCATTTTAAATCGATTCAGCAATCCTCCAATCATTTTTCATTCACAATATATCCAAATTTATTGGCTTCTGTAACAAGAAAATTCGAAATCGTTCATGAAGCGAGTTTATGAATAATTTATCGTAAAAAAAAAAAAAAAAAAAAAAGAAAAGAAATACAATAAGCAAAATCAAAAAATATCATAATTATACTCACTGAATAGGATATTAATCTAATTATTAATCTAATTTAATTCTTTCTTTCCAGTTTCCTATATTATCAAACTGAAATGGAAGCTATTTTATCGCCGTTTATGCAACAAAAAAATTTGAGAGAGATAATTTGAGATCATAATTGGAAAATACTATCTATGAAATTATATCTCATCATCGATAAAAATTATTAATAATTTAAAAAATTGAGAAAGATAATTTAAGATCATAATTGAAAAATACTATCTATGAAATTATATCTCATCATCGATAAAAGTTATTAATAATTTAAAAATTTTCTTTTCCAATGATAAACTTTTAACATCTCATCGTCAAACATTCTTATTTATTTTTTACAACGAGTAAAAGAACCAATAATAATTTTCAAAAGTAAAATTTTTAAACAGTATTTGTCAACGATTGCAAAAATTATAACATATAATTAAGAATATATTTAACTACGCTTTTCTGAAGCGCAATTAATTTTTTTTACACGACAAACAATTTTATATTTATATATCCTGAAACTTGGAATTATCTGTCGACGAAGAAAATTATACGATTTATTATTATTACGCAACCAAGTCTGTTCGGCAATAGTACGTTACGCGATGTAACTATGTACGTAGCATGTGTAATTACACGTGCTACGAATATATCCACAAAAATAGAATATTACTCAAGGTTAATATCCAACTATCAGTAGATCGATCTACAATGAGAATTGTGATTTTTATATTCATCATATCATCATATCATTATATTTTTGAATCGCGAAGGATTATCATATCGAAGACATTAGAATTATCAACAATATATTAGAATAGACTGAAATATGCCAGGACTAATTTACTTACTTTTCTGAAATCATTATTTAAATATAAAATAATTATTATTGGATGGATGGATCACATTAATAATTAAAATTGTAAATGATATATAATTAATCGTAGAGGAAAACATGAAAATTATATTTTATTGACTTGCAAAAATTTATATCATCAAAGAACTGCGCTATTCCACGAGAATTGATTTACAAGTATTATTTGATCGATAAAAATTCTACTTCGATAAATATTGTTTCACTCGTTTACCAATGTATTTTTTTCCAATCTTTATTATCGATATATATGTTTATATATATATGTAGTACGTTTTATATAATATTTCGTTAATATTTCAAATAAAAAAATAGAATATAAAATGAAAGGATGTGGATTACCTTCGAATTTTTTCTCGAATTTGTGCATATATTCATAGATGTGTTGGCCGATCGGCTCGTTCGGCATCTCGAGTTCCCCGCCAAACTCGGTAGGTAAATTTTTCACTCCGAGGATAGAGATCAAAGCTTCCCTGTCGGTTCCGTGAAAGTGAAGCCTCTTGCGTGTCTTCTCCTATAAAAGTATTCTGATGTAAATTTCAAATACAATAAAAACATAAATTTTCGCAAATCACGGCGATATATTTAAATTATGCATGCATTTACTAGTCCATCCTCAATTCATATTCAGACATTAATTATCCACCTGCAAGGAAATTATTTCACAGAAATATTATTAAACTTATTTCTTTTTTTTCTCGATTAATCCATAATTTGTTATCAATCGATCAATCAATATGAGATAAAAGTATTGCATTAAAATCTTTTTCTTTTTTTCTGTTTTACTTCGTTTAAAAGAAAGAAAGAATCTTAAATCTTAATCACGTTTCAAATATATTATCGTATCATTTTTTTAATTTTTTTAATTAATTAAATTTTATGAAACTGATAAAATTGTATAAAACAGTACCAGAAGAAAAGGTTTAAAAATAGCGTAAACCATCTTGAATATGAAGGGTTGATTCACTATGTGTATACCCTTTATTCGAGAGGGTAAACATCTCTGTAGCCATTCGGTTACCGCCGCGGCGAAACTCGGAGTGATATGTGTGATATGGCTCAATGAAAACCCGGCCATATTTATAATCGTGTGCATTCCGCAAATCTGGAAGAGAACAAATTACACATGAGAACGTGGGAAGAATGATTTGAATATTATTTGAAAATAAAAGAAGAAATAGAATTAGAAAGAAGGAAAGATAAAATTAAATATAATTCGAGGGAAGGGGGAAATAATAATGATTAGATAGAAATAAAATTAGAAAGAAGGAAAGATAAAATTAAATAAACTCGAGAGAAGGGGGAATAATAATGATTAGACATTTTTTTCAAAGTGGTATTAGGTAGGCTTGAACGAAGCGTACTTTTCTAACGACACCAAATACGTACTTATGAAGGACAGCACGAATTATTGCGCAATTCAGGTTAGCCTTCCCCTCCCCCCTAGAATTTAACGATATTTCGAACAAGATTTCGTCTCTACACTACGAGTTTTTAGTCTTAGCAAACCACTCTACTCTTTTCATCTTTAAGCGTCTCATCCTTGATGAAAAACAGAAAATCGAATCGATCGTAAACCTCGAGTTTTCGTCGACGTACCTGCGTTTTCGGCTCGTTTATAGCCATTTCTATTAACAATATCGTCGATCGAAATATCTCATCGCCGCTTATTAGTTTTGGATTCCATCGTTTCCCAGTGTTAATTAAAATTACTCTGCAACCGTCTGCCGTTCGATCTGGTAACGATATCGTGATATCTGAGTTTAACACTTTTTGCTCGTTGCTGGGCGTGAGATCGAGATAGAAGCGAGGATTGTTCAACTTGAATTTGTAATATCTTTTCATCTGTGAAATCGAAACGATTTTTTTACCACACCGGTTATTATTTATATTTAGAAAAGAAAAAAAATGTAATTTTAATATACAATCGATGATAATAAGAAAAAGCTTTTTGCTCACCAACTCGAAACTATTCTTTGGATACCATTTGCAAGGACGCAGGAATTTTTTGTAAAATTCATCGTCATCCGGGACGACGAGATTGGATTCAGCTGAAAAAAAAGAAATATGTTGGAGAACGTAATTACACTTGATCGTATTATTTGCACGGAAAAGATTGTAATTCTTTCAAACGAGCGATTATCTGATTATAATCATTGCATTTGTATATTATTGCGTATCGTGCGAAGAAGGCAATCGACCATCAGGATGTTTTATTTTTTGTTATAATTAACATTTGATATTTTACAGAATTAAATATAAAAATAAAAAAAAAATATTATGACTATTATATTATATTTGTCGATTATATTCTCTGAAATATAACCTTGACTTTCGTTTAAGATCTTCGAGAAAAGAATATTGATCGAATTTTCGATAGAGTGAAATTTTTATTTACACGTGACCGGTTGCTCAACATGTAGAAAAGTACACGATGGAAAACACAGATTCGTTTACGACATTCCTTTCTTCGATGTAACACGATTACCTTAATATGTTTAATTTAAATTATTGTCTAATTTAAATTAACTTTTACTCGAAAAATAATTTTCGTGTAAAAGTCTTTATATTCAATCTTCGATATCTTAAACGAAATTTTTACTACCATTACTTTTTTTAATTATTTCTTCGTTATATTGTAGAACGTATTTTTTTTTATTGAAAATTACAAAGTTCGCGATAACGAAATATATTTATCGCGATCGATAATTACAATAATATTTTAATCATTTTTGCAAAAAGATAAGACGCTTTGTTACCCGCCAAACAAATATAAATTTCAATGAAAATTTTTAAGATTATCATATCCTTTGTTCCTTTGTTTTACAAAAAAAAAATTGTACAAACAAAATCTATCTAAAAGATCTAAAATATATATATTATAAATAGTTCTTCGATTCATTTTTCCATTTTCAATTTTCGATCTAATTTAAAACACGTAAATGGAGGGAAGTGCGAAAGCAAGCAAAAGAAATTGTCCACGTTTGTCCATGTTTGCTCGGTATCCCGAAGAGAAAGCTTCTCGCGTCCCAAATGAAAAAAAAAAATACTTCCTCTTATCTATTATTCTAGTCATCTCTGTCTTATTATACAACGGCACGAGGCGAGAAAACGAAAAAAAAAAAAAAA